TAGTTCTCTCTTTCTACTTCCTCCACAACTCTCTCTCCTTATTAATCCATCGCAAAACACAATTCGAGTTGTTGCTTGAACATCGCATCTCCCTTAAACTCCATTCAGTTTGTTTTCTTTCTTATAATTCTTCTTCTTGAATTCTTTTTACATTTTAGCCATTCTCCTTCCCTTCTTTATCACTCTCTAATATCTTTTCCCTTCTTTTCTTTTCTCCTTGATCTTTGAAATACATGTGATCAATTATATTGATATTGATGTAACAAAAATTAATTTGAATTTTGTGACAGCAACTGAATTTAGGAAATTTTCTTTTTGTTCCCGTTTTATTAATTGACAAAAAGATAGGCAATTTATAATAATAGAAATGTGGTTTGTTTTTATGATAAAAGCAAATTGTAGTGGTATGAGGATTAAAAAAATTAAATAAATTACATTATAAGACAACAACAAGACTTCTTCTCGTTTTTCTTTGGTGGAAGTGGTTTACTTTGTATTGACTCTATAAGTGCATTATCAATCTCTTTAATAAATAATTGAGAACAGAGAGTAGGATCATTAATGTCCAACACCTCATTTTTTACCAAATTTTCTTCAGCAAATTGTTTGGCATGAGTGACTTCTAATGGTGTTTTATTTGACTTTAATCCAAGAAGTTTTCTTGGGATACTATTTTCAGCATACCTATCAACTTCTTTTGACCATGCATTTAAATGTTCAGCAGTTTCAGGATGACCAATTTGATAAACAATAAATACAATATTAGCAGATTTAAAGAACATTGTAGTTAATGACTTCGTTTTTTCTTTTCCATCTAAAAGATTATATAAAAAATCATTTTTAAGTTATTCTTATGGAAACAAACCAGTATAACTTATTGTTAACATTATTTCTTCTCCTTTATGTTGTATTCTATAGTTCTCTTCATCTATCTTCTCTTTAATTAAAAGCCTTGCTAATCCATTTTTAATTAACTCATCGACACCTTCCAAATCATCACCTAGAAATATTATTTTAACATTTTGACCTCTTGATTCTTCGCTCGTTGTTGATGCCATTTCATCAAAATAAATTACTTCATCATCAGTCATTTATTTATTCTTATTTAGTTCTGCTCTTTTATAATCCTTCCTTATAAACAGCTTTATGCCCTCTAACACATCTATCTCTTTTAATTTTTTATTTCGGTACTTCTTTCAAGAATTTTTTAAAACTTTTTTACCCCCTTTTTACTCTAAATTCATTTATTTACTTTTACCTTCGTTCTCTTTCGTTTTATTTCTTTTTTTCTATAGAAATAGAAGAACGAAAAAAAATTGGTATTATCTTGTTTTATAAAAACAAAAAAAACATAAACAACAAAAATAAATAAGCAAAGAAAATTATTTTCTGTTATTATAATATAGGAGATTAAAAAAAGATATTCAAGGTTGAATCACTGGAATATAAATCAAAATTTCTCCAATATTTGTTGTTGCTTTTAAAATAAAAAACATATCCTTTTCATAATAATATTCACATAATTCAGGCTCAAGTTTTTCTAATATAAAGAATTTTTTAAATTGTCCTGACTGACAAGCACAACTAAATATAAAGTTTGGTTGATGGTCTTGTTCAGAAAAAACAACTTCCATTTTACTTTGTTTTGATGAACAAACAAGTCGAATATCCCCTTCATGAGATGCACTGAATACAACTTCTTCTGATAATTCAGCCATTTTATCTAATGCTTGTTTCATTTGTTTCATTGAATGTAATTGACCAGATACATCCATTTGTGCATTCATTTCTATTGGTTGATGATATAAATCAGCACCTTGTTTATTGATAGTAACAATGAGTTCTTGTGTAACCTCCATTCCATCTGTATTAGTCTTAAAGTTTAAACAAGGAACCCTTTTTGTTGCACTTCGTGTAAGTGATATTTGGCAAACTTCTGATTCTTTTACATTCAACATAACGCGTAATAAGTCATCAGTTGAAAATTCTAAATAAACGTGATCCTCTGTTCCGTCATATTCAAATGCACTAAACAAAGGTGATAATTTTGACATAAATATAGAGTATAATTGAGATAATGAATCTTTATATACTACAAAAAAATCTTCTTTGCCAATAGCAAACACCCCTTGTTTACCAACAGCAGCAAAAAACCTAACAACATTTAGAAATGCCTCTATTTTCTGTATTTCTGCTTTGAACCTCATCTAGATATTATTGTGTTTTTTTAGTTTTTTTGTTTATAGTAGTTCTCTAATATTTTTTAAATTTTATTCTATTTATTTACCAATATTTGTATTCATTTCTTGTGAGGCTGAAATGGATTATTTGTTTTATAATCTTCAGGAGTGCTCTATAATTCAGTTTTAGTTTACATTAATTTGTAGATGTAAAATTAGAGTTAGTAAATAAATAACCAAGTTTATATAATTGTTTGACTAGCATTTATTCTTTTTGGTTTTTTTATCTAAAAACTGTTTTGATAAAACTTGGATTTAAAAATTATCAAATTAAAATTTCAATAAAATTTGATTTTTTTTATTTTTCTTTGTTATTTGAATTAAGTCCTTCACTCTATTGATTGTATTGTTCATGAAGTACTTCTTTATATTTACTCCTATAGTTTCAACACTATTTTATTAAATATTTTATGTTTATTATTTATATTATATATTTTATCATTATTATAGGAATTACTTTATTTTAGTTTATTAATTTCTGTTATTTTCTCTTGACCATTTCTATCTATTTCTACTTTATCATCAAATATTAGATTTATCTTTTTATAAGTTACATTTATCATTTAGTATGCATATTTATCTTCTATACAACTATCTTTTTATTTATGAAATATTCATTTTTGTAACTACTTCTTGTTTTAATAAATGAAGTATTTATTATTTTCAATTCTTCCTTTGAATCTATCAATTTCATTAAATATTAGTTTTATTCTCTCTTGTTTTCTTCTCCATTTTTTTGTTATTTGTTATATTATTTTATATTCCATATTAGTTGTTCTTAATGTATATTCATTTATTAAATCATGTTTATCCATTTGTATATTCTTATTTCCGATATAATTTAATAATATATGTTATATTGTTGATATGTTATTATTACAAATATTCCATCATTTTAATTTATCATTTTATATAATTGTTGATTTGTTAATTCATAAAAATATACTAATTTCTTGCATTAATTTTAATTGTTTATATTCATTTCTTTTTATTTATTTATTCATTAATATTTTAATTGTTAATTTCTTATTATTTCATATTCATGTATTTTATTCAATTTGCTTACATTATATAACTTCTATTTATTAATATATTTCATTAAATTTATTCTTTAAATATTTTATTACCATGTGATAGGTCATTCTTATTTTATGTTAATAAATGTATTTCATTAAATTCATTTTTATTAATTCTTTTACCACATGATTTATACAATCTCTCTAATTTTTATTTTTATTCATTTTCATCATTTCTCATATTTCAATTACCAATTTCCATTCATAATATATTGTTAACCTAATTATTTCTAACCTATATCCATCTCTTATTATCTTATTATTTCATCATTATGATGTTCTAAAATTTCTTTTATTTTTTATCGTCTTTATTTACCTTGTTTATGCTCAGAATGATATTAATTAAATATTCTACCTGTGTTATTATATTTATATTTTTAGTAATTATGTTTATTTGAGAGTGTACCATGTTATTTATATTTACAGTGCTAATTAATGAAGTGATTATATTAATATTTTATAATTTAATTATAATGCACATGGTTCTCTAACCAAAGGCAATGCCATAACTAGACTATAACTAGTGATTCAAAGCTTGGATTTGTTTTAGGGTTCTGTGTGGCGTCTCTGACTTACCAACTTCGAATTCAATAACATTAATTCACAATAAAATAATGTTGTTGTTATTTTATTTTTTAATTTTTTGTAATTTTATTTTATTTAATTACCTAGTATATTGACAAAAGACCTATTAAGACTCTGGCAATACAGAGAGCGACGAAAAAGTTAGCAATAGTTATTTTGTTGTAACTTCTTAAAACAATAAAGACATGAATAAGCAAATAAATATTATTAATTAGATTTTTTTATTTTATTTAATTATCTTCTTTCATATAATTTATTATTTGTTATTTATTTTTTTTTTATGATTATAGTATATTTTATTACTTGTTTTATTTGTTTAACTTAACCTTCTTCTTATGGTTATTACTTTTTCCTTTAGTACTATTATTCATTACTTATATTTGAAGTTATGTTTTAGGTTGAATTTTTAAATTATATTAAAGTCAAAGAATAAATTATTCTTTAATTTAATATGAATTCTTAGTTATTTTTTTGTTGATTTTGTTGTACCATTATTTGTTATGGCTATGTTTTAATCTTAACATTAACTTCATGTTTATACTGACAATTAATAATAAAGGTATTATTTTTTTGTTAATTTATTTCAATGAATAATTTGAATGTTTTATTTATACAGGGACTTCAGTAGTCAGTTGTATTTAATCATTAGTACTATCATTATAACTTACACAGACTTTTTAACACATAATTTAAATAACAACCAATCTTGATTTATATCTTTGACACTAATACAAAACATTTAATTATCTTTAATTATCTTTCATTTGTTTCATATTTAATTTAATATATTTTCAAAATCACTTTCTTATTGTTCTTGATTATGTGTTATATTCTAAATATTTATTATTATTGCTATTTCTGATTTATTAAAAATATAAACTCTATTAATTAATAAAATTCATTCATCATATTAATTGTCATCTTAATTGAATATGCAATAAATCTAATAACAATAATCAATTTATAAATCATTCTCATAATAGTATTTTATTTAAACATATTTGTAAAAAAATAATTATAAAGAATGAGAAAATAAATAAAATATCAAATATCTAATTTTAGTTTTATAAAAATAAAAAATTAGATCCAAAATAATTAACAACTAAAAAAGATATTTTATTTTTAATTAATAATATATATACCCTCTGAGTTGTTGGTAATGTAAAACCATTATCTTATTAAATCTAACTATTAATAGATTTTTAGATATTTTCATAAACAAGAGCATAATAATTGATATTTCAAATTATTATTGATATTTTAATATTCACTTTATATCTGGATTAGACACTACTTCTAAAATGTAAAATTAAATTTATTCAAAGAAATAGATAGATAGATAGTTAAATAGAGATTTTGTTTATGATATTAAACTAAAAATTATAATATAAAAACAAAGTTATTAAAAACCATTAATTCGTTTATTTAATACGATTTTTAATGTATTAATATGTTTGTATATTATAAGTTCTACTCTTTATAAAATAATTTTGAAGTATTGTTCTTAACTTTTTTATTGCTTTTTCTTGAATTATTCATTTTTAATAACTATTTTTAAAAAAATAACACTTATTTTATTTCAATGTTTCAGTAATAAATGAAGAATTACAGAGATATTCTTATTAGTTATTTTGGATATTAATAAAATATTATTCTATACATTTTCTTTTCATCTGATAAATATTCTACATATTTCAAATTAATTAAATATTTTTTTTTTACTAATATCTATCATAAAGTATTTATTAACAATCGTAGTATTAAAAAAATGAATAAGATAAATGTACAAGTTCAAAAATTATTATCAATAATTCAATTGTACTGTTAGTTATTGTTATTTACTTTGAATGATGATTTTAAAAATAAGAAGAATAGACAAAGAAACAAAAAGGATAAAAATGAAGAAAGTAAAAAGAAAATAAACGCAAAATATGAAGGCACCAACCATATCAGAAGATGTGAAATACTTAGACGACAAGAAAATTAATAAGATTAATAGAAAATTTAAAGTTTCTGAACAATTTAGCCATGAGTTTAAGTGTGCTCTCAACTCAGTGTTTGGAGCAGGAAGATTATATGTTGGAACACACCACTTATGTTTCAGTTATCTAAAAATCATCAAAAAGAAACATGTTATAATGGCATGGAATGAAATGAGTGACATCAATAAGATTAATGGGAAATGTATTGAAATTAGAACAAAAAATGGAATGTTTATTTTAATTTATTGTAGTTCAAAAGTGAATGAGTTGTTTGATTCATTGATGGAAAGTTGGAGAAGAAGCATTATTTTCTCAGAAAAACTCAAACAAATAACAAAGAGACAAACAAATGAAATAACTGATAAAAGAATTAATGAAGAAAGGATTTTAAAAGAAGAACCAAAACATATTGTAACAATACACCGTTTTCATAAAAATGCAAATGATTTATTTATGTTAGTGTTCAGTAACAATGACACTATTAAACAGTTATATGATGATATTGGACAAAAGGATGTTAAAACTGAAGGATGGCAAAATGAGACTAATGGAGGAAAATTACTTTATTTATCATACAAAGGAGTTTCAAGTGTTATTGGGATGGAAACAAGAATAGAAGAGAAATGGGAAATGAGAATGAATGAGAATGGAATTACTATAGCAATGGTAGTTAGTGTATTTGATATTCCATATTCTAGTTATTTTAAAATTGAAAGTTTGATGAAAATGACTGATGAAGGAGAGTATTGTGATATTGTTGTTAAACTCAATGTTAAATTTATGAAAAGTACTATTTGGAAGAATCGAATAGAACAAACAACAATGAAAGAGTACAAAAATAAATATGAAGAATGGATGAAATTAATTGGAAAGATGATTGGAGATTCTCAGTTTGAAGAGATTGAAAAATATAATAATACTAATCAAAATTCTATATATAATAAAAAAATCATTTATGGAATGATTCTTCTTATTATTGTTTGTATTATTTGTTGTTTATTATATTTATTAATAAAAACTTTTCATTAAAATTCATTTTTATTTATCAATTAAAAAAAAAACAAACATTAAAACTAAAAAAAAAATATGTTTAAATATTTTGAATTAATGAATTTAATGAAGAGTATCTTCATCATCATAATGAATTCTAACAACTGGTTTAATAAGATCTGCTGGTTTATTCTTCATTAACATTAATGCATCTTCAACTTTTTCTAATCCTTCAAATCTATGTGTAATAAGTTTAGAAGTATCTAATTTACCAGTTGAAATAAGTGATGCTAATTTTTCCATTCTAACTCTTCCACCTGGTGTTAAACCTCCATGAATATGTTTATGACCCATTCCAACTCCCCATTCACTTCTTGGAATATCAATATTATCTCCTTCTCCAAGATAATTAACATTTCCAATATCTGATCCTGGTTTAATCATTTTTACTGCTTGTGCAAATGTATGAACATCTCCTCCTGCAATAACTACTTTATCAACTCCTTTTCCATCTGTAGCTTTAAGAATTTGTTCTACAATATCTCCATTCTTATAATTAATAATATCTGTTGCTCCATATTCCATAGCAATATCACAACAATGTTTTCTTGATCCTACTGCAAAAATTCTTCCTGCTCCAAGATGATTTGCTCCTGCAACTGACATTAATCCAACTGGTCCAATACCAATAACACAAACTGTATCTCCAAGTTTAATATTAGCTAATTCTGCTCCATGGAATCCTGTAGTTACCATATCTGATAACATAACTGCATCTTCTGCTTTAATATCTCTTGGAAGAAGAGCAAGATTAGCATCTGCTTCATTAACATGGAAAATTTCTGAAAAAACTCCATCCTTGAAATTTGAGAATTTCCATCCTCCAAGCATTCCTCCTGAATGCATTGGATATCCTCTTTGTGATTCTTCTTCTCCCCAATCAGGTGTAATAGCTGGTACAATAACTTTATCCCCACTTTTAATCTTTTAACTAATGACCCTACTTTAACAATTTGTCCAACTGCTTCATGTCCAAGAATCATATCATGTCTATCTCCAATAGCTCCTGCCCAAACTGTGTGTGTATCTGATGTACATGGTGCAAGTGCTAATGGTCTAACTAATGCATCAAGTGGTCCACATTCTGGAATTTTCTTTTCAATCCATCCAATTTTTCCAATTCCAAGCATAGCAAGTCCTTTCATTGTGGTTTTTCCTTCCATCTTCTATTGTATATAATTTTTATATTTTCTTTCCTCTTTAAATATATTTTTTATCGTACGATAATCATTCTTTAATCTTTTTATTTCTTTTCTTCTTTCTTCTTTTTATGATGTCATTTCTATAATTAATTTATGGATTTTTCAAGAAATTGAAATAAATTGTAATTACAATTTATTTTCTGTTGAGTCACATATCGGGATATTTTCCTTATTTCTTTAAATCTCTATATTCTCAATATCTATTTTATTTTTTATTCCTTCTGAATTTATGGAATTCATTTCTTATCTTCTTTTCTTGTTTTGTATTATATTTTATTAATTATCTTCCTTAAAGTACTCATGAAGTCATCAAAAAGCCTTTCATTCTAGTGATGAACACAACATTAACCCTTTATTTTTCAATTATTCTATATAATGGTATATTACTTGTTATAATATTATCGTATGTATGTTTTATAAGTGTTTAATAACATGTACAATATGTTAATTTATTATTTTTCATTTGATTGTGATTTGTTATCTGGATTGTAACCATTCAATACTACAACTTGATAATCAATGGAAATAACAAAATAAAGAAGTTTAATTTAAGGAATTATTGTTATTTATTCATTAGACAAAAAAGAAGAAAAACTTAAAAGAGGATAAAGTGAGAATTAATGGATAGTGAACTTCTTCCTCATTATGAACTTTCTAATTTCTTTGATTTTGTTGAAAACCCATTTTATGAAGATGAGTACTTTATGATAAAATGCCATCGGGTATTAACCAAAATGAAAACTGAGAGATTATTTATTGAAGTAGAAGTTGACAATAAATCTGAACAACTGTCTTCTTTAGTTCCACTTCTGTTGTCTAAATCATTTAGATTAAAAACAGGAATATTAAGAATAGAAAAAGCTTTCTTTTGTGAAAATGTTTGTTTTTCTTAAAAGAAAGAATAAATTTAAAGACATCACTTATTTTATTATAGAACCAACGAGAATGTCTTTGGATTATTCTTGAACCAATATCACCATTAACTGTTTCTGATTATATTAACAAACAAGAATTAAGACCAGATGAAATGAAATTTATGGCATTTGATTTTCTCAAAATTGTTAAAGATTTGGATGATGTTAAAATTCCATGTGTAGTTGATGAAAGAACATTAAGAATAAAAAGAGATCCAGCATGTCCATTTCCAAGAGTAGTATTATCACCACTAGCATTTATTTTGGGTGTTTTATATCTTTCTAATGGGGATGAAGATTTAATACCAAATTATAAGGAAAGTATTGCAACAATTATTTCACCATTAATTCAATTACCATTATCAAATGATTTCATTAAATCATTTAAAGAAAATAAAAGTAGTGTTGAAATTAGTCAACTTCCATTTTCAAAAGAATGTATTGATTTTGTTAATGGACCAGTTTGTTTATTATCAGAATATACTGCTGAATCAATACTAGGAAATGGGTCATATGGTATTGTTATGCAAGCTCATGATATTGATGGAAAAATAGTAGCAATTAAAGAAAGTGGAAAAGAGAATGTTTCAACACTTCAAAGAGAAGCAATCATTATGAGATTATGTAATCATCCTAATATTGTTAAATTTCTCAATTATACTGTTGCACAAGATTCATTTGCTTTTAGACTCAATGCACCAAATTTAAAATTAGATTTCCCAAGGGCATTTTTAATAATGGAATTGTGTGATGGAGGAGATTTAGATACTTTTCTTAGTAATTATGCAGCACAACATCATGACTATCTCCCAATTGATTTAGTTAGTAATTTATTTAAACAAATAGCAGCATCTCAACATTACCTTCATTTTGAAAAAGGGTTTATTCACCGTGATATCAAATTAGAGAACTTCTTATTGGTCAAACATGAACCTTATCCTATTGTCAAAATTGCTGATTTTGGATTTGGTCGTGCTATCGCTGATATAATGGCTACTTTTAAAGGTACTCCATTATTTACATCACCACAAATCATTAGAAAACAACCTTATACATCTAAAACAGATTTATATTCAATTGGAGTATGTTTATATCGACTTGCAACATGTCAATATCCATTTTCTAC